AATCGGTTCTATCTTTTCATTTACTAACAAAATTAAAGAATATATTATAGACGGAATACCAAAGTGCAACAAAAGCTTCAGACTTTCGAGGAAACAACAGCACTGAATGACACATTTTCAGCTAATTGATGACTCTCATCTAAAAACTATAAATCTTCTTTAATTCGGCATTCTGCTCTGTTAAGCATGATATGAACTGGTCAAATATAAATCATTTTGATTAATGTCCACCCCAATAACTTGCAACTTCATGCTTGGCCTAGTTTCTGTTTTGGCAATCAGCAAGTACCATGAAATACAATAACTGTCTGTCAATCAGGGTATCTTTGAAAGGTTAGCTGTTTATAAACACCTGGCCTTTCTCAGATGAAGTCACCACAACATGATAAAAAGGACGCGAAAGGTGGGAGGCACTTTAAAGAAAAACTTCAAGGTAACAACAAATTGCTCATCATAAAATCACAAAAATATCAGAGAAAATAAGATTTAAAAAGCGGAGGCGGTGGGGCACAATCAGAGTATTTGTATTTCAGAGAGTATTTGTATGTTCTATATTCTGTAGCTTAGTATTTTCATCCATTGTATAATCATACTTTTTTTTTTTACTGTAAATGTATGTATTTTGTTATAGGGCCCCGCTCACAAGCTTAGCTTCTAAAGGGGTCCTAAAACCGTTCAGTTTATGATGTAATCAAGTTAGAATATGTTGATTGATGTACTATTACCAGTCTCTTTTTTATGTAACAGATTATATCATGCTTTGTATGGTTTTGAATAAAAATGAACTGAACTGAACTGAACTGAGTGTTGTCTGGCTCTCATGACCTTTTTCATATGCGTGGGTTCGAGTCCCGCGCTGAGCAGAAAAAATGCAAGAATGATTGTTGCCGCATTGTGTGTATAGCGCGCTCCTTCTCTCTGTTCTTCATGCAGGCTCAAGGTCAGGGAAAAAAACCCTCCTTTTTTAGGACTAGAACATTCACTGGAGGCTCCCTGTGTGGGAGAGTCACACCCTATGCACGTTAATACGCTACACCTCTCGCAAAGAGCATGGTGTAAAAACCCGGTGTTTAGAGCGCTTGAATACAATAACTACAGATCTTTGTGATAGGTTCATAGACCTTTGAAGATTAATAAAAGAAGATGAAGAAAGACACTTTGACAGAAGAGTTTCATCCTTCTTTTCTCATTTTAGAATTCTATTTCTCAGACTTTTCTGCTTTCATTTATAAAAATAAATCATTCTGGGGCTGGGGTCGGCCTTTAAACAAATGCCCCTAGGCAATGTAAGCATTCCCCACTTATCTAAATTTGGAATTCCAATTTACACACATTACAAACAACACTGTGAGCCATTTCAATGATGGCCTACTTTGGTAAAGGAAAAAGTGAAACTTCAATACAATTCTATCCATGATGTTGATTGATGGCGCTAATCAATTATGATGTTACAGGTGCATTGTAAAGTGTAATTAAAACTAAGCACATGTAAAATGAACAGTGGCATAGCAAGGTGCAGACATTGAGGAAGGAGGAAGCCCTGGTATGATGGGGGGGGGGGGGGGAATCGGTCTTGATTGTGGGTAAAATGCGAAGGCCATTTACTAAAGGGAAAGTGTGGAAGGGAGTTGCAGCATCTTCTTTTTACATTCCTTTTCTTTCCTCGCCTTTACTCTTTCTTTTCCTCTTTTATTTCCCCTTTTTTGAAAGAAAGAATGAGGCAAGGGGAGGGGGGGGGGGGGGGGGGATAACCAGTCCAAATATTTCCTAGCATCTGAATTAGTGAGACAACTTATTAAAGGATGTTGAAGGAGGTCAAGTAGCATCTCTTCCCTCTCCCTCCGTCTTTTACCCATTTCATTCCCTCTCTCTCTTTTTCCATGTACATGTTTCTAACATTAATCCCTTTTCCCCCTGTGATGGGGGCACATCCCCCCCTTGCCCTGTTTTTCCGCCACTGACATGTACACACATTACTGGGATGAATGAATGGCAAACGTATGTGCATGAGACGGCCATTAGTGGTGCTTAAGAGCATTGACTTCTTTATTCTCCCCATTTCGTCATTCAAAGAAATCCCCATTGTCACTTGGAAGTAATGTATCGAACCACATGGTTTACATTTCATAATGGAATATGTACGTGCCATAGCAAGCCTTGACATTAGTAGAAATACCGCTCGGTCATAAAAATTAGTCATGAGGGATATCATGTGCGGAAACAAAGAATGAATAAATCATGTGATTTTTTTTTTAACATTGAATTTTATTTTTAGGTTATTTTTCCATGACACTTATCAGGAAGCAAGTGAGACAAACAAATATTGGTAGAATGTAAGCTTTTGAAAGAGGGAGAGAGGGGGAAAATAAGACAGAGAAAGAGAGAGAGAGAGAGAGAGAGAGAGAGAGGGTAAGCTAGAGGGAATAAATCTAAAGATCATGGGGGAGAGGTGAATGTAGACAGACATCAAGAAAGAGAGGGAGAGATAGGGAGAGAGAGAGAGAGAAAGAGAGAGAGAGAGAGAGAGAGAGAGAGAGAGAGAGAGAGAGAGAGAATGTACAAAGAATACTTGATTTTGAATAGCAACATTTAAAAAGAAATCTGTGAAATATGGCCATGTAGGAGGTTAACATCTAACATAGATCTCCAAGAGAAAATGGGCGATACAGGGTGAAAGAAGGGTGGGAACAAAGGAAGACATGAAAGGAAGTGGAGAAAAGGCAGTAATTGCTTTTGCAGAAAGACATTTTGGCAATTCTAATAAACAAGAGATAGGTCCATGGTCAGGCAGTAGGTTAGCATCTGGGGTAGATCTTAAAGAGAGAGAGAGAGAAAGACAGGAGACCAGGGGAGGGAGGGGTGGAGGGGGGGGGGGGGGGTGTTGTCAGAGGAAGACAAAAAAAGAAATGAAAGGAAGGATTAAACAAGTAATTGATATTGATGAGCAATATCGGTTCAGAAAATCAATTACTTGGAGGTTCATCTGCGGTCATGCAGTATGTTAACATCTAAAGTAGATCATTAATAGGAGAGGGGCGAGAGAGAGAGAGAGAGAGAGAGAGAGAGAGAGAGAGAGAGAGAGAGAGAGAGAGAGAGAGAGAGGGGGGGGCAGAGGGGGAGGCGTAAAGAGACGAAAAAAGGAGATATTACAAGGAGTAATATATAGCTAATGATTTGAAGAGCAACATACTGGGAAGCTCTTCAAGAGAACCAGGGTGATAAAGAACAAAAGTGGGAGCAGCAGGGGGGGGGGGGGGGGGGGAGTGGGCAGAGAGGAGCAAAGGAAAAAATAAAAGGAGAAGATGTACAGACAGTTATTGATTTTGAAGAGCAACATTTCAGAGAATCTATAAGCTGGAGGTTTTGGTCTATGGCCAAGCAGTATGTTAACATCTTGGGTAGATCTCAAAGGGGGAAGAAAAGGTTGAGAGAAAGAGAAAAGGGCAGAGAGTGACAAAGATAGACAGAAACAAAGGACAGGGTGTACACAAAATTGCTGATTTTGAAGAGCAATTATTAAAGGTAAAGATCAGTATTGGAAACGCCCCAATTTCAAAAAATGAAATGGAAGCTCTCATTACCAATCATGTGAAAGAATATGTTTTGACTAATACATGATGATAAAAAATTTGCCGGGAAACCGCCTACTAATTCATATATTTGTTAAATTTGTTTCTCTCATGGTCTGTGAGAGATATAGGGTAGTCCCATATACATCTTTCTGTGTATAGTGCTTGTAACTTTACGAAGAATGGGCCAAATTTCTTATCATTTTGATGATTCCAGAACCTTGCAGATGCTAGATGCTAGATGATCAACCTTTTCTGATCGATTCCACAACGTTTCTTTCACAATGCAATCGCATAACCATAACTGGTCTTTACCTTTAAAGAAAAATGTGTCACTGAGTATTAAGCGAGTAGGGAGGTCTTTATCTACAGCAGAAATAAGGTTGATAAAATGAGGTTGTTAGAAAATTTAGGTTTTGATATTCCATACGACCAGTTAACATTGCACACATCAATCTAAATTTTAATGAACAAAAACTTGAATGCAAACCCTGTTATAAAAAACTACCTGACCAAGCCCCCCCCCTCTCTCTCTCTCTCTTGTTATCCCACTCCTTTTGAAAAACTCCAACCTACTTCTTTTTCTATTCTAATAAACATTTGAATATCGCCTAGTCTAGAGTATCGCCTTGTCTAGAGTTGCAAAAGAAATTTGCAAATGAAATTTGCAACTCTAGACAAATTTTGATCAACTGAAATTTCCAATTAATGAAAGGGGACACTCATACTTTGATTACTTTGATTATATTGGCAGAAATTTGATTGACCGAAAACGGGCAATTAATTACACTTTCTATACTGTACATCACATCTCTTTTACTCTTAGCTCTTATATTGGATCATTTAAACTAAATGTATCTACAAACACTTGCCTAGACACATAATCCAACCTGACAAAAGCAAAAGCCAACACATAAGTAACAACTTATCTCCGTATGTAGGACAAATGAGCAGACCTTCACATAAAGCATAGAAAATGAAATTGTTAATATGTACTGAGCAAGAAAGCAAACGCTTAGTACATACTTGTTTATCTTAATCAAGTGATGTAGATGTACAAACAAACACATAATCACACAACCTGTCCTCTCCTCTCTATGAACATACAGGGCTAACAAACATTCTCATTCTGGACTGGACAGATGCACAACCAAGGACACAACCATACACATTCCTAACAAATGATTACAATGATCTGTAATTCTGTACTTCTGTGTAAATAATGAGCAAACAAGCACACACAATAGTATTTAGTCAAATATTGAAGTTGGGAACTCGGTTTGGGTTTTAAGTTGGGTTAAAGATCGAGCAGAGTTAGGGTTGGGAATAGTGTTTAGCCAAGGGTTAAAGTTGGAGATAAACTGCAAGATGAAATACCTCTGACTTTCCTACATACAAATAACCCCATAGACCTTTCCAAAGTTTCCTCACCTCTTTCTGCAAGGAGTGAGAGAACCCTGTCCTGTCCGTTAGGTTTGGTGGTGTCCATGGCCCCTGAGTTGATGTCGTCCAGCATGCACTTGGCTGTCTCTATGCTGTCATTCAATGATGACAGGATCACACCCTTAGGGCCTCGCTTCACCCATCCGCTGCAGTACAGACCTGTGGCAGATGGAGATGTCAAAATGGACTTTAGAAGTTGGGCTCAGTTTGTTCTGAGCTCGAGAAAGGTAAAGGTGTCATAGAAAGTGGCAAGTGGCAAGTGGATTTAAAATCCAAGACATGCTTGTAGGTCTTCAAAAGAGACTGGAATTTTGTTTCCATATGACTGACTGACAAGTCATTATCTCAAACAGTTGTTTTTAGGAAGTAGACACACTTCACTTGGTAAAAGTTGAACCAGACATTATGCAAAGTATGCATGAATCTGACAGTTTAAGCTTATCAAAAATGTTTAAACACAAGTTCATACAAATTTTATGAAAACAATTTTTTTGTTGAATTTGATAAAAAACTCTATGATATTATAGGACTTTCTCTTCTATTTAATTGACAATTTTGCTATAGATATTCATTTTTGAAGATCACTTGTCAATAAAAGCTGAATAGTATTATTTGATACCCCTTTTACTAACCGTTTTAACATGAAACCATTTTAGTCTCATTCACACGATACACCGTAAAAAAAACTCATGTCAGCAAAATGAGGCGTAGTGAGCCTTGACTTTATATCTTATAACACACACATTCAGGTAAACATGTACATTTTGGGGACTTTGATACACACAGCTATATTTTTTTCAACCCCATCTATCCTTATATCAAGTAAAATGCTTTTATTTTGTAATGGTGGATTTCTTTTTAAAGAAGGAAGGGGTATTTTGAGACCACAAGACAAACACCGAATTTTAAATCCCACGTATGACACAACGGGTGTGCTTTCTGCAGCAAACCTCACGCTGCATCTCTCTTACACATGCAGGACACCAGGTTAAAAACCTGTCACGATTCCTACCTTGTATTCCCTCGACCCTGCCCAGTTCGTTCTTGACGACTCCTTTCTGGTGGTCAAACGGGATGAAGTCGTCCACCTGGACGCTCTTGTAGCCTATACTCCTGAGGACCAGGCCGCAGGGAATGGTCTCGCTCTCCCCGGTCTTGACCAACTTCTCCTCACCATTCACGTTCTAATGCAGAAAAGAAACGAGGATAAATTTAGTCTTGAAGCCCGTACTCCTGAGGATTACAGTGAGAGAAAGCGTCTTGCTGTCACCAGAAAGCGATGACTTAACGCCAGCGTGGGAAGGTGAAGGAAATGCCAAGGAAAGAAAGAAGACGAGAGGAGTCAAATGTAGACTCCCGAGACCTGGACTTCAAGAAGTGTATTCAGTCTCCCAACCTTGTAGCGGATCGCATGGCATCGAGGATCTAGAAAAGAGCAAGTGAGAGCGACTGACACTTGTTGTACGTAGGTTATGTATGTAGGTTGCCTCGTACGTTCCGGAGTTTTGATTACCGGCTATCAGATACAGTAACCATTATAGGCAATAATAGTTGTTGACAAGAGAAGATAATCCCAGGAGGACAAGGCAAATATCAAGGATTAACTGTTTCCATAAAAAGAGCAATGCATGAAAGGATTATTTGAAGATGACAGGAGTCTGAAATATCACAGATGATGATTAAATGCCATTTCAAGGAAAGAATGGAATATTTCATTACTCTAATCTGTAGCGGAATTATGAGTATAATGCTAAGAAACTTTTGAAAGAAAAGTGGATTGGAAAAAAAGTAGAATAGAGATGGTGTTTTAATAGAATAAGAGTAAGAAAGAGAAAGACGTATATTTAGAAGGAAATAGAGGGCAGGCTCACATGTATTAAGAGAGGAGATGAAACAGAAAGGGAAAGAATCAGACAGATAGAAGGAGAGAAAGAGTAACAAACGAGAGAGTTGGAGAGAGATAAATAAAAAGAAGAGGGAGGAAATCTGGAGAAAAAGCAAAGAGGGCAAATGAACTAAGAACAATTTAAGCCATTGTGTTACAAACTTTCAATATTTTTTATCTTAAATTGGATTTGCAGTTAAAAGTGAAATAGGAATCAAGAGTTTTAACAACAAAAGGCATGGGAGTTCACATTTCAGAGGCAAAGCTGAAAAAAAATGGAACATAAACTTCAAGTCAACCTTCACATTACACCACAGGCCATACAATTCCTCAACCCAACAAATATTGGGGAACGAGAAATTCAATTATCCATATTTTTTGTGGTTTCTGGTTGATGCAATGATATATTGAAAATGCCTTGTGCAAGGTAAGAAATTCCCAGAGCAGGCTTTACTTCCACCACAACTTTACAGGAGAGACTTGCTCAACAAAACATTTTCTTCTCCCGATATTCTCCGAAATGCCTGTGACATCAACAATTGCACATTGTAAGGAAGTGGGAGTTAGCGGGTGCTTGGTTTTTTATGTTTTTTGAGATTTTTTGAGGTAAAAAGCTTGCAATTACAAACAAAAATACAAATTTTCTTTAAAAATGTAGATCTACTCTAATAATGCTGATTACTTTGTTAAGGTTATCATTTTTTCCCCCTTGGCGCTCAGTGTTCAAGTTTGGTTCCTCATCATTACATTGTACTTTTCCAGTGATCAGTGTTTGTTCTAAGGTTACAAACTTTTTGAAAGACATTCAAATTTGACAAAAATGTATGTTACCCTTTTTCAACATCTCATTGTTCAATACAAACATGAATAACTCATCACAAGGAATGTCTCTCTAGTAATTTCAATGCAAGACAGTATATATCATTTTGTATATCAAGCTTATCTAAAGTTCTGCTGGATTTCAGCGCTATTTCCTGTTGGAGTGGGCGATAGTATTACCCACTGCAATGAACACACATCAATTAGTTGGCCAATCATTCTGCAACATGTAATTAAACAGAACAATTTTAATGGTTTTGTATGCCATGTGTATTGCATAAATAGGCAATTAATGTGCCGTCGGCTTTGAACAATGTGGGCTGTGATAACCCTTCCTGAATGTCTCTCAAGTAATTTCAATGCAAGAAAATCACATCCTCTTGTATCTCAGGCTAATTAAGAGTTCCATCAGACTTCAGTGCTATTTCCTGTAGGAGTGGGTGATAGCGTTACCCACTGCAATGAACACACATTAATTAGTTAGGCGAAACATTCTGCAACATTACAAGACTCTTTGAATGGTTTGTATGCAAAGTGTCACGCACTTAGGCAATTAATCTGCCTTCGGCTTAGAACGTGGCGGGCTGTGACAACTCTTCTTGAATTAATCTCATTAATTTCCCGAGAGGAGCAGCAGCAGCTATCAATTATTATTGTCCTGACGAAATCTCACACTCATTGAAGAGATGGTTGATATAACATGGGATTTTATGTAAGTTTAAACACGAGAATAATGTAAATCTCCAATCGCACATTGCTTTAAATCAGCCCATAATTGATTGCAGTACTCGATTTGAAGGAGAAAAAAATAGACAGATGCTGCAAGCTATTTGGCTCTGGAAAGCTCTAAAGGAGCTCTGGTGAAAAACGATTTGTGATGAAATCTAACTCATAAAGAATACTTTTTCACTCTGTTACCGTAAATCTCTGTGTATAAGGTGCACTTTTTTGCAGTAAAAAAAAATTGAAAGTCGGGGGTGCGTCTTATACACACACACAAAAACTCACCACTCGGAAACTAGAACAACACTCAAATTTGTCTGTCATCTTGGTTTAAAAGTAATCTTTCTAATAGATCTGCAGTTTAGAATAATAATTCCTCCAATTTTGCTTCGGCGTACCACAAGGTTTTATCCTAGGTACTCTACTGTTTTTAATTTACATTAATGATCTTACACATTCTTCTAAAAACAACATTATTACTTTTATTTGTGACAAGTTCACAAGCATAAATCAGCGCCTTCAACTGCACCTCGATGTTAATGAAAGTCCTTCCCTGCGTGTGTTTTCGTTTTGTTTTTTGGGTCTTCAAAATAGGGGTGCGCCTTATAAGCGGAGATTTAGGTTTTGCAGGGTCATGTAGATTTCCTGTCCAACATGTTGTTACACATTAATTTTGTCTCAGATTTACTGTTACAAGATTTAAAAAATTATATCATAAGCTGCAAAGTTATACACAAACATGAACAACATATTCAGAGAATTGACTGAATTTATACAAATTTAAGATTTTGAAGTGCACTTCAGCGTAGATTACTGCTGGAAAATAATTAAAAACAGGAATTACTGTATTTTGATAGAATTCTTGAATTGAATAATTAATGAAAACTACTCTAGACTAGATTACTTTATGGAGGAGTTCATTTTCAAGATTTCAAAGAAAGCGCTTCAAAATCAAATTAATAATAAGCAAACTTAATACACTACTTAATCTTACAGCATTTGCAGACATATAACTTCCCCACCATGATGATCAAGAAAAGCATTACCCCTGAGGTTTATGAACCTGGCAAAAGGAATTCATGACATTTACAGAACTTTTTACAAAAAAAGGAGCTGGAAAAAAAAAACAGCGTGTTTTCTATTATATCCCTCATGTTTCTTTCTTTCTTTCTTTCTTTCCTTTTCCCTTCTAAAGTTATAAAATAATATTTTACTTCAAGTATGGAGCTAGCCTTTGACAGGACTGTGGCCTCTGTTGGCTCCTCCACTTTCAATTTAATTCATCTTACCCCACTTTCTCTCGTCCGTACATGAGTATTGTATGAGTGTGTGCCTATGTGTAATATCTTGTATTTATAAATGTTTTTATTGTTGTTATCTTTTTACGACTTGAAATTTGAAACTTGATCTCTTTACTTGTTTTTTATTTTTAGGATGAGATGTATAATAAGCTTCACAATTTCACACTTTTAAGTAAATGAGCGTTGCGCAACTTGCGCTCAGTTGCAATTCATACAAACACTTAAAAAATCCATGGCATTCTATTTTTGCAGCAGATTACTGCATCATATCTGAACGAGCCTATACCATGTTATGGAAACAAGCCCTTACAGGTATTTGTCATAAAATAAGAAAAATATCAAGCTTTTCGTGAGCAGTTTATTGCCCACTAATAAGCATTTGGATTGCATTCAAAATGGAAAATAGCTTTTCATTCCCACAAGACAACATTAATAAGTGAAAGTGTTCGCAATGGTGTGATGCCTTAAAAGGATCGTTTAACAATGTTAAATCTGAGATACACGGCCCTACGTGTCATCAGTGTCTGTGATATGGTGTAATATTGAAGCCCTAAAAAAATTGCGCTTCAAAATGATCAAGAAGTGCCTCAAAAAAGTAAAAATCTTTGAGTGACCGGTTTTACCATACTCGTTTTCCCCAATAGACTGTAGTGTTATGAAAACCGTCAGGCGAACGGTTTTCAAAATTTGTAATTCCAATCATAAATATCTTGATAATCAGACAGGCGATCGGCTTGTAAAAGTCATGGGGCTCCTGACTGACCTAAAGGTTTATAATTATCATTGCATCATGAGCTAAATCCAGAATTTTATTTCAGAATCTGAGACAAAGTTACCGGATCCCTTTAAGGCATGAGTGTCTTTTCAACAACATCAACAATCCATTTCATAAGTACATGTAGCCGTGGTGTATTACTTTGATTCAGAATGTGAACTTTAAGATTTTTAAGTCTACAGATCTTTTTTTCACCAGCATAAATTAAACAGTAACATATTAAACATCACGTTGATAATACATACACTTTGGGAATTTGAGTGCAAAGAAATATATATGCACAAATTCTCGTAGAAATATTCGAAAAGCCATGGATTTGAAAAACATTTTTTCATATATATATATATTTCATTTAAAAAAGAAAAGTTATTCAAATCAGGTATCTAAGAAAATTCCAGGTCATTGAAGTCTCAAGAGCATTACATGTCTGTTTTAAGAAAGAAAATAACATCATTTATGAACAATATGAGTCTTTACAAAATTAGTGCTGTAGTCAAACCTTTAACTGTCCGGTATCTGACCGCCCATGGCGGATTCCGTTTTGAATTGGATGGTTTCATTTTCCCGTTTTTTTTTTTTTTTTTTAAACTTTTATTTTATTATTTTTTATTTTAGTTTCGATTTATGCCTCTCCACCTGGCACTATGCCTGGCAATGTCTCCCAGCTCAGTAATCTGTGTGTTGACTCACCACTCGGAAACTAGAACAACACTTCAATTTGTCTGTCATCTTGGTTTGAAAGTAATCTTTGTAATAGATCTCAATATGTAGTTTATAATAATAATTCATCCAACTTTTACACACGGCGTACTACAAGGTTCTATCCTAGATCCTCAACTGTTTTTAATGATCTTACACATTCTTCCAAAAACGACATTGTTACTATTATTTGTGACAAGTTCACAAGCACAAATCGGCGCCTTCAAATGCACCTCGCAGTTAAATGAAAGTCCTTCCCCTTTTTTCACACGGACAAAAAAAAAGAAAGATTTTTTTTTTGTTGTAAAATCGTTTAACCGAAAACCATCCGGTTTTGACTGGTGGTTAGACAGAATTGGAGATATCCGTGATGTTACAGCACTACATACTACTTTAAACTAAACTAAAACAAGGAAATCAGGCCATGTTGGTAAATGTTGCAGTCTTGTTTACTAGTTTATGAATGTCCTTGATATCATATAATCACAATGAATATACCGGTATAAGATCCAGTTAAACATCAAGAGCAATTATTTGCTAATAAAACCCAACCAGGCAGTAATGTTGAACAAGAGATTTAATAGGTCATTCCATAAAGTTTGAAACCCTCTTTACTGATTTTGGAAAAGTTTCTTTGGAACTAAAATGCATGGTATGTAACAAGAACTGACGAGATACATGTATGTAGAATGTGTTCACACACTAGAATGAGATTAAAATCAGAAGTGGACATTTCTATACAAAACTAGGTGATTTTCGTTTAAAAATAACAGAACCATCAAGAAATTTGACCCAGTCCCCAACGTTTGCCATGTAAATATGAGCTGGAGAGGTGAACATTTTTCACACATTTATTATAGCTTAAATCTGAAACCAAATGCAAATATTCCTCTCAACAATAAAACTACGGTAGGCAAAGTCACTAAAAAAAAAAACACCTCCAGACAAACAAAACCAATGAGAATTCAGGACAATTCACTAAATTCTGCCTTTTTTTGTTTACTAGTTTGTAACGGTTCTTGAGATTGAAATGCATGACATGTAAATTAAACTTCGAGAAGTGAAATGTGTCATTCACATTAGCTTGAATCAAAAATCAAAAGCACTTATTCCTCTGAATAATGACATTAGGTAATATCATTTTAAAAAGACAAACCAAACCAGCAAGAAATCCGAAAAAGTCACCAATGTTTGCCACTTTTTTTTGGACTAGTTTGTAACATGTCTTGAAATTGAAATGCATGACATGTAATCTAATCTCGTGATGTGAAATGTTTCACCACATTAGCCTATATTTTAATATCAGAAACAATATTCAGGACAACTGCACAATATCATTGAAACAGCAACCAAAACCACAGAGAGATCAGGCCAAGTCACCAAAGCTTGCAGTCTTGACTCGATTGTAAAGGTTTTTTTTAAATTGAAGTGCATGACATGTAACATGAACTGGAAAGGTGTAATGTAAACACATTAAATTAATCTGAAATCGAAAGCAAATATTTATTTGAATAACACAATTCGGCAACATCATATCATTCTTTAAAAGAAAAATAAAACACTAAGAAATGAGGTTGAGTCACCGTTGATTACTAGTTTGTATAAAAAGGTTCTGGGACATGAATTGCATGAAATGAAACTAGAGAGGTGTAATGTGAACACATCAAATTAATCTGAAATCGAAAGCAAATATTTATTTGAATAACACAAGTAGGCAACATCAAATCATTCTTTAAAAGAAAAATAAAACACTAAGAAATGAGGTTGAGTCACCGTTGATTACTAGTTTGTATAAAAAGGTTCTGGGACATGAATTGCATGAAATGAAACTAGAGAGGTGTAATGTGAACACATCAAATTAATCTGAAATCGAAAGCAAATATTTATTTGAATAACACAAGTAGGCAACATCAAATCATTCTTTAAAAGAAAAATAAAACACTAAGAAATGAGGTTGAGTCACCGTTGATTACTAGTTTGTATAAAAAGGTTCTGGGACATGAATTGCATGAAATGAAACAAGAACTTGTGAGGTGAAACGTGTTAACACATTTTTAGCTTGTGTTTGAAAATCAGAGACATAAAAACACTATTGATTTAAACAACAAAAAAAACAACAACAAAAACACAAAGATATCAGGTCCAATCAACAAAGCTTGCAAACTTGTTTACTCATAAATTTGTAAACATTCCTGGAATTGAAATGCATGACATACAACTCATGAGGGGAAATGTGTTGTCACATAGCTTGCATCTTAATCAGAAGTAAATATTCCCATGTACAAAGCAACGACACTATTTCATCAACAAACACCCCCTCCCCCTCCCTTCCCCTCCCTCCCCCTCCCTCCCCCTCCCTCCCCAAAGAAAAAAAGTTTTCAAGCTTGTTTACTGCTTCATGACGTTTCTTGGAATAGAAATTCATGACATGTAATATGAACCAGAGAGGTGACATTTGTTAACACATTAGATTGCATCTAAAGTCAGGAGTAACCAATCCCATAAATCAACTACACCATATCGTCAACACCAAACGAGCAAAAAAAGGTAACAAGAAAACACGCCATCTTGGGGAAGGTTTGCAACAATGTTTTCTGGTTTGTAAAAACTCTTGGAATTGAAATGCATGACATGTAATATGAACTATAGAGGTGATACATGGGAACATGTACATGTAAGCTTGCATCTTAATTAGAATAAAATAAAATATTAAGGAACTAAACCACTTTTAAACACAGCACCTTCCCCCCCCCCCCCAAAAAAAAAAAAAAAAAAAAAAAAAACAGCAAACAAACAAAAAGAAAAAGCACCGACAACAAAAACAAAAGTAGCATGAAATCAGGCCATCTCAGAAAAAGTTTGCAACCTTGTTTGCCGTTTCATGAAGTGTCTGGGAATTGAGATGCATGACATGTAAAATGAAGTGGAGAAGTAAAATGTGTTAATGCGCTACGGGATGATAGCGCCCTTACCTCTAATTTGCAGACGTCAAACTGAACGCCAGCGACTCTACCATTCTCTCCCAAGGGGCTCGAAGACAGGACTTCAGAGGGACTGCGGAAGAAATCCAAGTGCCATTCCCCCGAGGCTGCATCCTGCCTGGCCTTTTCTTGACTGGAGGGGGCGCTCTGGGCAGATTTCAGCAGGAGTTCTGTGATACGTTTCTTTGGCCTGGGTAATTCTGTTATAAATGTACAAAATGTAAAGCATTTTAAATATAGCTAGAAAAATGAAAATAAGGATTGATAATAAAGCATTTGTTTAAAGGGATCATTTAACAATGTTAAATCTGAGACACACCGCTCTACGTGTTATCAGTGTCTGTGATATGGTGTTATATTGAAGCTCTAAAAAAATTCCGCTTCAAAATGATCAAGAAGTGCCTCAAAAAAGTTTTAAAAATTGAGTGACCGGTTTTACCATACTCGTTTTCCTCAATAGACTGTAGTGTTATGAAACCTTTTGGCAAATGGTTTTCAAAATTTGTAATTCCAATCATAAATATCTTGAAAATCAAACAGACGATCGGCTTGTAAAAGTCATGGGGTTGCTGACTGACCTAAAGGTATGTAATTATCATTGCAGCATGAGCTAAATCCAGAATCTGAGACAGTTAAGTTTATGGACCCATCCCAATATATTAAAACAAAGTACAAACCATCTATCTTTGTATCCCTTTATCTTTAAAAAGGAATTTGAGGATGAACATAATCATATACTGGTACCTCTTGTATCCCAGATTTAGACCAGTCCAATTATTCATGGAGCATCCTGCACTTGAAAACCTCCTTATCCTCTAAATGTTATCAAAATTCTGTAACTAATTGAACAAACCAAAAATTGATTTATTATTTTCATATCATGACTGAATTCATTCCATCGATTCATTTTGTGGCAGGATTATAGTAAATTGTGCATAATAACGTTTTAACACATTGCAAGCCATACACGTTCACTAAATTTAACAAGGTTCAACATTTGTCCTCTTTTATAAATAAAGAAACAAGAAAAATACAGAAACGCGATTGGAACTATTTTAGAAAAATCAACTCAAGGTTAATTTCAATGCCCTATTGTATGTCCCATAGAAATCATGTTCAGATTACGTAATACCTCATTGTCATGTTTGCACATTTCAATAGGTGATGCACAAGGCTATTGAAATGGAGTTGCTTTCTCCCTACTCACAATGTAGATACGCCACATATGCCAATGCCATTAATGTAAACGATTTTGATAGAATAACCACTGTGAAAGCATGTTTCAGTTAAAACAAAATGCTTTACATAATAAAATATGTTTAAAACAATCAATTTAATATGCATTTTTGTTATATTTTTAAATCGATCTTAAAAAAATATTTAAAAACCTAATTGTAGAGCTACTAAACAGAAGAAATGCTCTCTAAAAGCTTAGAACTTCATTTCCGATGCCAAGCTGAATAATACATAAAGATTAAAACTATTCAAAAGAGAACTTATAAAACTTTAATTCACAATTAAAGTTGAAAGTACCGGTATATAAAAAGGGTAATTGCCTTGCCACATGGTTGTTCCAGTTGGCCTAATGTAATGTCTCCGGGGCATCCCTGCTCTAATAACCTTTACATGGCCCAACATTATGGCTTTCCTGATTCAATGAACTCTGTAATCATGTACATATATATGAAGAGATATTAAGGAAGGCAACTTTTTTTTCCAACATTTAGAAATGGCTTAGAGCTAGCTTTATGGGCGTATCCATTTGGGAGGTTTGTTGAACTTTTCCAACCAGGCAATTAGCAAAAAAAAATTCGGAAGTCGTAAGAAAAATGGATTTTCTCAAAAGAGTGTAATGATATTGCATTGTGTGTGTTGGTGGAATGTAAATGATTCAACCAAATGCATGCTTAGCAAAAATTGCTTGCCAAAATAAACCCGAACTTAAAAATTATATTTGTGAAAATTGCCTCACATTTTATCGGCAGTCATATGTCCGAGCAACTTTGGGTCAATTATAAGCCAAATCCAGGTGACTTCTGTTAAGTTTGCTGTAGGCTACTTTGCAGTAAAGGGCAATTGTGATTTACGTTTATACAAAAATATTTTGAAGTTGGGCAAAACAAAAATTGGCTGAAGATGATCAGGCACGCATTGCCTGAATGTTGGGCAATATCGCACCTATTATTTTCAAGAGTGCATCGTCTCATTTTTCTCTCAAAGGGTTTGGCATAGTTTTCCCAGATTGTAGTTTCATTTTGTATAGCATATGGTTGTACAATTATGCATTTCAACATCGTTATTATATAATTTCAGATTTATATTTTACATTTTGGGTTCTTGATATCTTTCTTTCTTTCTTTGTCGGGGAGCAGATTTGTGGACTTTTTTTTGGGGGGGGGGGGGGGGGGGGGGGGGGGAATGAACCTTCACAATCTACATCATTAAAAGTCTAATATCATATTCATAAAAAGCAATTATTGTAATTAATTATTGTGTAATTTATTTTTCAAAAGATACTTGTACATAACTGCCCATTTATCCACAATCTTTAAAAGTTCACCTCTTTGCCTTGTTGTCTCATTTTTCATCTCCTTTTCGTTAATTGCTCTGCATTATTTCCTTTCTTCTTCCAAAATCTCCTTAAAATTTTTCATTTTTCTTACGAATTGTCAGCAAAGCCCGTTTAAATTACCACCAATTAAAGCAGATCAAAAGATCAAGAAAACTGCAGCTCTCCTTTTATATTCCAATCATAAATTCATACCTCTAAATAATAAATATGCACTACTTTTTCAAATCAACTCTGTGTCAAAATATGAGTTTTTATTGTCTTTCCAGCTCTTTGCAGACGATATAATCTAACGGTAGTCTACAAAGCAGAGCCAATTAACTTAAGAATTCAACAAGAGGGAATTTGTTCCACTTAATTATTGCGGATGAACGTAATCAGAGTGTGTGAGTTTGTCTTTTCAGTCCCATCCACATTTGAATGGCCAATGTAATTGCGAACAAAAATTAGGTATGTATTTTGAAGAAAACTAGATGGAATTCGACTGCGCGCAGTCGAAAATGATGCCTCCGTCATAGAGCAATTTTACAAACCGAAACGGAAGAAATTTTTCAAATTCAAGTTCAATTGTAATCCATTAACATGTTCTCAGAATATCGTGATTACAAGCAATTTCTCATAAACATATATGACCCTTTGATCTTTGACCTCATTACCCTAAAATCTACTCAGTTCATTGGCTCTGCAAGATTTCCTGAGTTAAATAGTAATCCATCTGTCAGTTCTAATGAGAATGCATCCACAAGCTATTTTTGCATACATAATGAGCCCATGACCTTTGATCTTATGAACCATTCATTGGCTCTGCAAGATACATAAATGATCTAAGTTTGGCAGGAATCCATCAATCTGTTCTAATGATAATACGATCACAAGCTATTTTTGCATACATAATGAGCCGCATGACCTTGACCTTTACCTCATGACCCCAAAATCTAATCAGTTCATCAGCTCTGCAAGTAACATACATGACCAAAGTTTGGCAGGAATCCATCAATCGGTTGTTCAGATAACGCGATCACGAGCTGTTTTTGCATACATAATGTGCGCTGTGACCTTTGACCTCGTGACCCCAAAATCTAATCAGTTCATTGGCTTTGCAAGATACATACATGACCAAAGTTTGGCAGGAATCCATCAATCGGTTCTTCAGATAACGCGATCACAAGCTGTTTTTGCATACATAATGAGCCCTGTGACCTTTGACCTTTGACCTCGTGACCCCAAAATCTAATCAGTTCATCAGCTCTGCAAGATACATACATGACCAAAGTTTGGCAGGAATCCATCAATCGGTTGTTCAGATAACGCGATCACAAGCTGTTTTTGCATACATAATGAGCCCTGTGACCTTTGACCTTTGACCTACGTGCTCCAAAATGTAATCAGATTGTTTTCCTATAGTGATACACACTATCACTAAGTTTGAAGTTTAAATCTCCAGTGGTTCTTGAGATATCATGATAACAATCTCAATGTATGGAATTTCATAAGTTGACCTCTGTGACCCTTGACCTTTGACATACGTGCTCCAAAATCTAATCAGATCGTCTTCCTATGGTGATACATACTATCCTTAAGTTTTAAGTTTAAATCTCAAATGGTTCTTGAGATATCGCGCTAACAAACTCAATACAAGGAATTTCATAAGTTGACCTCTGTGACCTGTGACCTTTGACCTACGTACTCCAAAATCTAATCAGATCGTCTTCCTATGGTGATAAATACTATTCCCGAGTCTTAAGTTTAAATCTTAAATGGTTCTTGAGATATTGTGATAACGTTCAAACGGGACGGACGGACGGACGTACGGACGGACGGACGGACGTACGGACGGACGGACGGACGTACGGACGGACGTACGGACGTACGGACGGACAACCCGAAAACATGATGCCTCCGGCACCACCTTCGGTGGCGGAGGCATAAAAAAAGTACACTGGCTTTAAGTTGCTCTATCGAAATTTGTTCATTTTCAATGGTCATAATCTCCTTCCAATTACGTCTGGTGATACTGCTGTAAAAGTAATTGTTCCTTTCTAGGGCAATCATTAGTGGTAGCCAGAAGATGGGCCGTTAACGATGTAGCTACATGATGTACAGATTAACCTTGCATTAATAATGAGTTGGCCTAGCTTTGAATTGTGCAGGGGATGGTAGGGTGGGGTCTCCTGAAAGGCTGCCCTAAAATTAAGTGTGGGGAGATGTTTTTGTTTTTTTAATTATTAATTCAGGCACATTTATCAACTAGGGCAATTTATAGATGAAATGCTTTGAAGTTCGTTCCCCTTAACACGATATTTAAATTAATTTACGCAAACTGTGAAGAGCTAATTGCATGCTTGTTCTGCTGGAGTGTTGTTGTTGTAAAGCAACCAAAGTATGTGATCATTCATAAGTTCCAGAGGACATACAGCTCCGTATCCTATCTGAAGGGCTACAAAAATGTATAGGCTAGTGTAAAAACCAAATTGAAGTGTTTTGGGGCTTATAAATATAACAAATCCATTCTATTTGTTTTAATTGTCTCTTGTTCTGTTTATCTGATGATATTTGTCTGTCTGTCTGTCTATAACAGTCTGTTTGTATGTATGTCTGTCTGTCTTTACCTGTCTGTTTGTTTGTATATCT